GAAATATGTGAAACAAAAATAAACAGAAACAGTCTTTGAAAAATGTTGTTCTAACCATGGCACTCTTACTCCTTAGTGAAGGAATCTATGGAGTTGCTGCTGTAGCTTCTAAGAATGTGCATATCAGATTCATCCTCTTATCAAAATTTTATCTACTGATTAGCTGCTTATGCAACTTTATCCATATGAAACACTGTGGGGAAACTTAAAGGTCAGCCCACAAGGCTTCCACAAGGCCCTGTTCAAGTTTAAGCCGGCAGTGGTGGCTTGCATCTAATCACCTAAGCCTGAGTAAGCAATGTCTGGAGTTGATATTAAATCTCCTTTAGCAGCTGCTCCTTTGGCCGTGACTAAGCTGATTGATAAAAGTGATGAGAGAGCTAATGCTGGTTTTGTGCTATCTCCATGTTTTAATTATAGATTGCTCTCCATCCAGCCCTTACCTGTTTTCGGAACAAGATGCAGGGATTATCAAAGCACTTGGGTTTCTTGGCATGCCATTTGTTTGAAGTTCTTTATTTAGCATGAGGTCCACATTGCAATAGGGAACTTACAGTCACAAAGCTGTGCCAACCGCCATGCTTGAGCTTTTGAGAGAATAATTGCTGTGGAATAACCATGACCAAAACATTTTTAAGGCAGTGCTGAGGACATCATGGACCAGTGACTTGCTGCAGAATTCGTTAAGCTTGAAGGAAGGATGCATGAGCCTGACAGACTCAAAATGATTCAGTAGCCTATGCAGAAGCAAACCATTCATGAAAACCTCACCTGTTTACATCTCCACAGGCCACTGTGCTCTCCTATTCTGAGTCCCGGAGGATGGTAGCAAGAGGTTTCTTTTGATGGTGGCCCCCCAACTTTGGAATGCTCTCCCAAGCGGGGGGGGCTTGCCTGGCAGCCACACACTACAATCCTTTTGGCACCAGGCTAAGACTTCCCTATTCTCCCAAGCTCACAAACCATTTTAAAGTGCTTCAAATCATTTCAGTATTTTTGTGCTTTATCACTTTAGTTTCTGCAATGTTGGTTTTACCTCTTATACCTGATAGTGTATTTTATGTTGTTTTGGTGCCTTTTATTCATTTTATAATGTTGATTTTGTTTGTATTATTAGTTGTGGGAGAAAACTTGCCATTTAAGGATGCAAACATTTCATCATGTAGTGATTGTGAACTCCTTGTTTACACTAGTCACTTAGCAAAGGTAGGGCAGCTCCACATCTCACCTTTCCTGAATAAAGCATCATTGTTAATCTTGGGTTCCCCACAGCAAACATAAAGTGTGGATTTTTTTAAAAAAAATGTTTGCACATGCATCTTTTACAAACAGTTTATGTTAATTTGGGAACTCCATCCCAGTGAAACATTCCTGCAGCACATGGTGTTTAAAGATAAGCATAATACATGCTTTTATTGCATTCGTACCTTACGTGTTTGACTGCTGGATGCAAGACACGCACACCAGTGTAACAGCTTGTTTCCTGCCCAAATTATAATGTCTATCTTCCTTTAGTTATACATATATGAGGTCTGTCTCAGTTCCACTTTTACATATTCCCCTACCACCCTTGTTACAGAAGATATACCCCAACTTGCTGTGACGTGACCATGGTTTGAAAGCATAGGTGACTTTAAAACATAGGAGACCTGGTGTGGCATGGTAGCTTCCTCTTTGCCTGGGGATCCAAGAGTTCTGAGTTCTAGTCCTCACTCTGTCATGAAGCTTACGAAGTGATTTTGGGTCAGTGACGCAATCTCAGTCTAGCCTACCACACAGGGTTGCTGATGAAATGGACCTATGTAAGCAGCTTTGGTTTTTCCCAAGAGGAAAAAAGGCGGGAAATAAATGCAATGTGAAAATAATAGGAAGCAACACTGGACTGGTGCTGGTGGCGGCAGTGGCTGTCGTGAGCATGCGCTCGGATGAGATTCCCAGGCGCGCACGGGAGATGCAGGGCTCTGGTGGGCATGATGGCTTAGACCTGGAGGAGGGCGAGTGGAGAGTTGACCCAGCAGTGGCTCAGCGTTCTCACTCTGATGTTGGAGTTGTTGAGACTAGTGAGGCCCCAGCTGCTCAAACTCCTCCTGGTAAGCCAGCCCGAGCCGCCGCTGCATCAAAGCACTTCAAGGACAACCGCTGAGCCACTGCTGGGTCAACTATCCACTCGCCCTTCTCCAAGTCTAAGCCTTCCTTCCCACCAGAGCCCTCATATCTCGTGGGCATGTGGGAATCTCATCCGAGCGCACACACACAACAGTGGCTACCAGGGCAGAGGAAGCATTGTGCAAACTGCAACGTACCTTACTAGTTGCAAGAAGAGGCAACATGCTGCCACTACTGCTGTGAGAAACACGGTCAGAGCCTTAAGTCCTCAGTGAACCTCGCACCTAGCACCCTAGGCAGGCGGCCACCCTCCCAGCCCTCTCACATGAGTACAGAATGGGAAGGGAAACACCCACACCAGCATGTGATCGGCCACTGGAAGCCACGGGTGCCGCCAGGTCACCACTGCTCACTGCTGGCTGAACAACACGGTCTCTTTCTTTTGTGATACAGACGGCCTCCCTTTCACTCTCCTCCTACCCCTCCTGGCTGCAGCCAGATGTGACAAGCACCACCTCCTGCCATATGCCTCTGGAACCTGCATCTCTCCCCAGGCTGCAGGCCCAATGTGGGCACTCACTTTTCTGTAGGTTAATATAAACAATGGAAACAGAAATGCGTGTGCACCCAACTGCACTTTCTTGTTACTTATGAAGTGGACCTCAGTGCCTTCTTATGGAATAACAGCTGGGGCAGAAGACACACAAGCAGGATGTCCCCCAAAACAAATCAATTAACAATGGTTTCTTATTCAGAGTTTGGAATTGGAGACTGAAGTATTTCAAGGTTTTTAAGGTTTGGTTATCCATTCGCAAATAGATCCACAGGGATCTACTTAACCCAGGAAGGTAATACTTAACCTCTCAGACAGAAGTGCAGTGATTAATTTGGAGGAAATTTGTAAAGCTTTTTGAAAACAAATATTGTGTGTTCTTATTACAATCACAGCCTAATTAGCTGTTAATGAAAATATAACTAAGAAGGACTATTAATTATTACTTTTTTGTAAATGTTACAGTTGTGGGAATGACAGAACTCTCGGAAGCTATTTCCATAAAGTAACTGATGGGAGATTTCTAGTTTCTCCATTATGATGTGTTACTTTAAAAAAAAACACCTTTTTCTTTCATATCCTCTGCACTGAACTATATGAATTTTGTAATTCTGTTGTTGCCAGTTCTCTGCCTAATAAAAGTCCCTATGTTCTTTAAATCCACTCTTGTACAAGCATTAATACTGTTTTCCCAGCATGAGTGAAGATACAAAGTTCAGGGCAGAGATACACAATCTTATGTAAAATCAACAGTCAAAGTATTGCTCTTCTGATAGTTAATAAACTGATCTTTTGTTAGTGGCAGGGATTTGCAATATCCTGAAGATGGACCATTGTCCTTTCCCATTTGTTTACCATTCACAAGTGAAGCAAGATAGTGAATATACTAGAATGGAAGACCTTACAGAAAAATACAAGGTATTTTTCTAAAGTGCTGGTAATATAGTGGGCAGCATTCCTTTATGTCTGATTCCTTGGTGATATATTTTTAAACACTCATTGCCTTATGCTAGGAACCCTTTCGCCTATTTACTTTAGGACAATATTACCATGCTTTAGGCATGGAAGTATGCAGCTACGAGCAAGATATTGGAGACAAGAGGAAAAGAAGATTTGGACTCAGAGTTGCCCAAGATAAGTGGAAAGGCTTTGTGGCCCAAGTTGTGCAGCACATTGACTGTGTAAATCATCAAGAAGCTTTACACAGGGCAGGGCTCCAGAGCCAGTTTTGAGCATGATTTATATTTGAAACACAAGTCTTGTTTATATTCCCATTATGCGCTTTAACAGTGAACTCACGTGGTGAGCACAGACAGAAATGGAGCCAAAACAGAGGGACAGAAGGACTGGAGCAATTGCAAGGTTTGCAGAAGTACAATAGTTAAAAACCTGAATTTGGGAATTGCAGGGAGCAATAACCCCTGAAGCCCGATGGGAACTATGCTCCACAGTCAGGTCATGTCAATTGGGGGGAAATGGAGTGGAAACTTAGGAAGTGGAGATGCCTTGGAAATTTTGCTTCATGTCGCACTTAACACTGGTCCACATAGATGTTAACACTGGTACCACCTCCGTGAAACCACTGCAGGAGTTACATGGGAAATGTCAAAGAGTAGAGTTATTGCTTTTCTCTCAGCTTCAGTGACAACACAAAAAACACACAGGAAGGAGAGCTAACAAGGAAATTGCAAAACAGGTTCCAAAAAAACTGGTTCTGCCTGCTCACTCAAGGTTTTGGCTGGGGAACGGCTGCAGCTCCAGACCCAGTGGCTCACAGTCAGCTGTGTCATCAGTGAAGCTTTCTGAACTTTGGGTGGGGGCACCGACTGGAAGTAAGCAATTGCCCAGTGCCATCCTGTTGTGGTCCCACCTACGCTCCTCTTTGATGAAACCACACAGGGCAGTTATCTTCAGTAAGCAAAGGTTGCATATCTTGTAAGACTCCATACAAGGCGGAAAGCCTTCAGATGTTGCTGAGAAGTGTGTGTGTGGGGGCGGGTGGCGGAGCCGTAGCTCAGTGGCAGAGCAGATGCCTTGCATGCAGGAGGTCCCTGGATCAATCCCTGCCATCTCCAGCTGCAAGAATCAGGTAGCGCCAACGTGACTTACCTTGTTCTACCTGAGACTCTGGAGAAGTGATGGCAGACAAAGTGGACTATAGGGTTAGTGGTCCGACCTTGTATGGGACAATTTCCTGTTTTCCTCAGGAAACATCCAGAGCTACTCAGGGACACTGCTGCTAGCATTTCTATTGCACAGATGCAATGGAAGTATAAAAACAAATAGAAAGACTTGTAAATAAAAAAGATTATGAAATGACAGAGAGAAAGGACAAACTTACATGCTCCTCTTCAAACTGGTCTCCACCAAAGGCTGCCACGCAGGGCTTGATGCCTCCTGTTCCCAGAGCAATCAGAGACAGGCCAGTCATTGAAAGGGCCCTTCAAACACAGATGAAAACCTCAGCACCGCAGAGGGACTTGCGGGGGATAGAATAGCTGAACTAATAAGAACAGAGGATGAATCAAGCCGGGCCAGAACATGGGTCCATCTGGTCCAGCATTGTGTTCACAGTTGCCCATGGGATCCTACAACCAGTTGCCACAACGGCCAGCCAGTTGTCCGTGGGATCCTCTCAGATTCAGACACCCTACCCTCAGCCATGACTGGGGTCCTCCCAGGGCCACCTGGTCTCCCGGAACTATCGTTACTGCAACCAGCCTAGTCCCCCTTCCCTTTGCCCTTCCTGGCTCGCTTGCCTGGTGACGCCAGTGGTGCTCCGATGGGCCAGGGACCAAGCAGCTGCCTGACTCCTGATCCATTACCGCACCGCAGCACTCATTTGCAAGGGCCCGAGCAGGCGAATGGTGCCTCTTCAGCACTGCTAGACGCACTCAGGAATGCACCCCTGCAAGGTGGAGCAGGCCGCAGCCAGCCTTTCCCCCCACACGTGCTTGGAGCGGGTGGGCTTTCCCAGTGCCTGATCTGCATCTGAGGCCCCTCGGAAGGAACCTCCTCCTCGTGAAATAAGGCGGGCGGTGACACAAAGAAGGGCCTTTTCTGCAGTGGCCCTGGCTCTGGAACAAGCTCCTCAGAGAGGTTTGCCTGGCGCTTTTTACATTCTTTTAGGTGCCAGGCGGAAACCTTTTTATTTTGACAGTATTTTAAATGTTAATTGCTTTAAGTAACATTTTAACTGTGCGTATGTCATTAGTTTTAATTTTTTTATTTGTAATTGTTGCAAATAATAACAAATTATTTGGAATTATTTGCAATTACAAATTGCATCCTATATTGGTTTTAATGTTTTTTTATTTGTAGTTGTTGCTTTATATTGCATTTTACTCTGTATTTATTCTATCCTGTATTTTATTTTGCATTTTGTTGTAACCTGCCGAGGGAGCCATACAGCTAATGGGGTGGGTTAGAAATCAAATCAAATCAAATCAAATCAATCAATCAATCAATCAATAGGCAATAAGCTAGAAGGTGTCAGCTTTGGCAGATCCTGCTTGGCAATATGAGTTCTAGTCAGTGTTTCAGTTCCTCACATCCTTGAGAAACTGTGCTAATAGCATAGCTCCACTTGTAATTGAGGGGAAAATCTGATTTTAACATAAATTCTGGAGAAATGGGACTGCCCTAGGCATCCAAAGGCTGGGAAACGCAGTCACATCCACATGCTTCCTGCCCCGCTCTGGTATTTTGCTGCAAGAAAGCTGCTCTCCTGCCAGAAGCACAAAGTATGAATGAGGCCTGAGGCCCAGTTCAAATATTTGGAAAAATTATATCTTACAGTTCTGAAATGAGGCTTTGGAAAGACTAACCCGAGTAAGTCTGCTATTATGCTTCTTTAAGAAGATTTAGAAAGCTTTGCAAATCTTATTTATTTAGTCAAGATTTTGAAAGTTCCAAGTGATTAACTGGGGCTATCCAGGAGATAGAATTTGGATTAGAGCTGTTGCCGTTTTATTTTTTACTCTGATTTATATATATATATATATATATATATATATATCCGACTTTTAAACTGCCCAATCCCTGAAACTATCTGGACAGATGAAATAAGAAACACAAAATGCAAAATCATTGCATAAAATGTAATGCTGATGTCTGTTGCATAAGCCTTCTTGAGTAATATGGAGAAAAAGGACATACTTTAAAAAAATAAATCAGTCTAGCAAGGACTATGGCTCAATGATAGGGCACAGTGGATGACTGCAAAATAAAATGTGCATGCTTTCCACCCAATTTTATGCAGGCATGTGCTTTATAGCGCATATACAGTACAAGACTGCAGTGTTTATGGTATACATCTCAATGAAGGCCTACATGCCCTCTCTGGCACTAGGCAAGTAATCTACAAGCTATAGAAGATTCCTTCAGAAAGCAGAGGGAATCAACATGAAGAGACTGAAGCTGAGAATCAGGACCTGTCAATATTTAGGCTATTTTATTAAGAAATAATCTAATAATATCATTGCAATCCATGAATCAAGGTATCTTTGCATTGCAGACTTGACTTAACCAACTGACAACACTTCCAAGTGTAATGGAGAGTTGGTCTATGTGTCGAGTTTGATGCATGGTGAACTTTGCACTTCCTATCCATACTAAGAACATAAGAAGAGCCATGTTGGACTGGATCAAAGGTCTATGTAGTCCAGCACGCTCAGTGGCCAATCAGCTGGACCTGGGAAGCCCCCAAACAGGACATGAGCTCAATAACACCCTCCAATTCATGTTCCCCAGCAAGTGCATAGGAAATCTTGAAAAATAAGGGTTACCTTCAGACCTGGGCTACTTTTAGTATCGGAGGCAGTGTGCCTATGCACAACAGCCGCTGAGGAACATGGGCAGGAGGGTGCCCTGTACTGTGGGCTTCACACAAGCAAGTGGTTGGCAACTGTGTGAAGAGAATGCTTAACTAGATAGACCCTTGCTCTGATCCGGCATGGCTCTTATGTTCTAATGTGCACCATGCTTTCTCCACTATTGAAAGGAATATATGGTCAGGGTGAATAGTAGCCATTGGTATTATTTAGTAGTACTCAGTGTGGTAAACGGGGTTGCCACTTTTGGCAAATGGCATTTCTGCAGGCACAAAAACACAAGGCGCAATTCCCTCGACTCCCTTGGCAAAAGTTGCATTAAATGATGCGGGGAAAGTGGTGCTGGCAAGAGATTCAGTATGACAAAGCCTGAGCCCCAGGTTCGATGTTTCCTGCAGGGTTCTAGGGTGGACTCTGTCCGTGCCTGCATATGCCCTTGACCTCCACAAATGCCAAACAGAGACACCTTTAAAAACAGAGACACCTTTGTTTTTCTTTTGTTCATGTTTGCTCTTGAGCATGAAACAGAGTGAAACATTTTTGCAGTGCTAAATATAGTGAATGGCTGCCATCAACGAGGGCGCCTGTGGCTCTGGCCAGAGGTTCCCTTGCAATTCGTTCTGCATGATCTGCGTTCCAAAGGCCGAGGCCTCCAAGGAGTGCTCTCACCACTGAAATGGATGGAGGCTCTGCTGGAACAAAGCTTGATGCTTGGCATCCTGAGACTTAAGGCTGGCAGATTTTCTAACGTGAGGCACTGGCAGCTTTCAGGTTTGTGATGTCCAGATTCGATAGTGAAAAAATACATTGTGCCAAGATGGCAAAAATCTGGGCCGAGCTACACAATGCTTACTGCTAGGTGCATTTGAACACTCTCTATATTAATACAAGTTAATTAATAATAAGCTTATCAAAACATAGCAGGCCAGCTTCTTCATTACTTACACATGAACGATCTGGTTTCCCACACTTGGTATTGCCCCAACTGACTTGATCATGTGCCCAATAACATAAACAATGGAGAGATAAATGATTGTTCTGTGGAAGAAGAAAGGAAAAGTGGGGAAACATTATCAGCCAAAGGCAGTGGCATGATTTACAATCTGAAAACAGAACATGCATCTGTGTTTCCTGATAGGAGAAGGACAAGAGATTTTCTGTTGCCTGGACTTCTACAAGAATTGTAATTCCTCTTTCTCCATCACTCTTCAAGACACTGGAGAAAAACTATGGCTGAAAAGAAGTGTAAGATGGCATGGATGTAGATCCTGGTTGCAGTTGTGGTTGGCTGCATGTCCGCCTCTTGTGCTAGGCCCATCCATCATCTGAATCATTCCTGACCAAAAGCAGGAGCACAGTTTTTGAGCAATAGTAAGGAGCAATGTGGTTGGTGGCTTGTGCCCTCTATTATTGCCTGTGGGTGTAATCCAGAAAAATGCAGGTGAGCTCAAGGTACACAGGTACATAAGAAAACAGGCTTAGGGGCAGACAAGACATGGCAGGAGTGTTCTTAATGCACCACGCCCCTTCAGAAGAGGGGAGGATTGCTCTTAACAGGAAAAGATAAATCACAGAGGAGTTAGCAGCCAGGTCCCCAGATCTTATTTCACTTTGATTTCATTGCTCTAAGTGCATTTTTTCAACTCCAGGTCCAATATGGGAAGTGAGCCAAGCAAGGTTACGTGTATCCACAGAAGTGAGGGAAGGTGTTGGAGTGCTCCAGCTTTCCTGCTCCCCATGTAATCTTTTTCTTTTACAGATTATACCCCTCTGCCATTTTATATATGTATGAACAGGGTTAAGAAGATCTCCTGGCTGTCCCATCCCAACTTAGCTTGGACAGAGACCATTCAATCACCATTAGATTCTTCTCAACCCTTTTGTTTTGCTGACCAGTCCTCCACACTGACCATTCGAAAAGCTTCCTTGCAGAGCAAAGGGGCAGTTTCTACTTGCAGAGATTGAGCTGGATTGCTTGGTGGGCCCACAGAGCCACCATGAGCAGCTGTTGAGGATGGGTGCACACAGCTCCAACCCTCATGGAACAACTTCAGAATAAAAAATAAAGCAAGCCATTTAAAAATGTATACATGCATCTATTATGTTTCTGTGCTGCCTACCACCCAAAGTTCCATCAGCGGTTCACAGCATTGTATAGAAAGCTATCTTACTAGAAAACCGAAATATCATATTTTCCCACCCCAGCATGATGGACCCATTTTCCAATAAGAAAGTGTATTATGTTACACATCACTTTTATTATTTTAGTAAGAAGAGATATCATTATTGTAAAGCTAATTTTGGTCTGCAACCATTAGTTTTTATAGTGGTCTTTCAAAAAGACATGTTGCTAAAATACTTTGGGTATTTTCCCTCACTATCTAATTAGCACCAATTTGAGGTTTGCCTCTTTTTGTCTTTTTTTACAAAAACCTCTCATACTTTAACTTCCAAACTCTAGGTATCCAATAGTTTTGCTCCCTGTATTTCTAGATTTCTCAGGGAAACTGAATTTGTACCAAGTAGTGGAGTTGTACAGTCAGTGCTTTTTTTGTCATAGAACGCACCGGAACAGAGTTCCAGCACCTTTTTTCGACAGATTTTCCAAGTTTTAAAAGCAACTTTTGAGAACTTGATGTTTGGTCCATGTGGATTTGAATCACCCTGTTGAGCGTAGCAGGTTGGCAGCAAAATCATTAAAACAGTGCATGCGGGCTGCTTCTGTGTCGAATCCGATGCATGCGTACTTCGTCTGCGCTGCTTGTGATGGCGCTGCTTGGCTTGTGGAGCTGCTCGGCTTGTGACTGGTCATGTGGTTGCGCGCTACTTACTACGGGCGGTGACCGTTATGTTTCATTACACAACTGATGTGTGTGGGTGTGTGTACAGTGATTGCGAAACATAAATAATTTCATGAGTTCTGGCATCTTTTTTCTTACAAAAAAAGCACTGCGTAAGGTGGATCTCAAACTACCATATAAAGGCAATAATTCAAAAGAGAGGCCTTATTCCATCTAGGGACCATTCATGTGTATGTCACACACACACACACACACACACACACACACACACAGAGAGAGAGAGAGAGAGAGAGAGAGAGAGAGAGAGAGAGAGAGAGAGAGAGTTATCTACACAATTCTGCATCTGTCTTAAAGTCCTGTGAAGCCTTTTAAAGAATGCTGGCATCCTGTCAATCAATTGTACAGGAATGAGAAGGGAGAGGATTGTGTGCCCCATACAAAGAGATATAAAAAATGTGGGCATGTACTCCTTTCCTTCTGTAATCTGAGCTATTCCATATTCCATGTATCTCTAGCATTAAAAGGACTGAGACCCTCAGTTCAGGGGAAGCAGAGGACAATGACATTTTGAATACACAAGGTATTTGGGTATAAGTACATCTCCAGTGTCAGGGGGCATTTATAAATTGCTCTTTTATGCCTATTCCACAGTTAAGGAAGCCCTACCCATTCAAACTTAAGTTTTTCCTTTAAAAGCATATGAAAAATGTAGAGATCTGAGAAACCTGTGTCCACTGGGAATAAACCTTGAAAGGATATTGCAGACCCAAGATACCATCTCTGTATATTTGTAGCCCTCTGTTATAAATAAAATCCCTACATAAATGTCAAATGTGTTAATGTAAAAGCAGTGCCATTGCCAAATGCATTTGAAATTTGGGATCTGCTTGATACCAATATATCCGATTAGTATACAGGGCTGGCCAGAGCCCGCCTGCTGCTTGAGGCAAAGGCCTGGATGGTGTCTGCTCCCACTCTGTGTACAAAACCAGGCCAGATTGGCTGCTGAATCTTATTTCAGCGCCACTGAAGTGGCAGCGCCCTTTGTGGGACCTGAGGCAGCAAGCTGGCTTAGGCAGATATCGCTCTGTCCTCCACCAGTTTCTAACTACTTCCCATCTCCTGCCAGATGCTGCCTTGCTTAGCTTGCTTCCAGGTCAGTCCTGTATGGTGCTTTTACAAACGTCAGAAGTCTGCAGCTGTGGGCACTTGACTCCTGCATTATTGGACTGGGGCCACAGTTATGTGTGCTGGAGCCTATGGTTGCAAAATTAATGGGGCTGCCATGAGAGAGCACGCATAAGTGTTTCTTGCTGTTGTCATGGGCGGTCAAATCATTTCCAACTTATGGCAACCCCCTGAAGGAATATCCTCCAAGCTGTCCTGCCCTTGGCAGCCCTGCTCAGCTCTTGTAAACATATGCCCATTTGTGACCCCTAAATATGAGATGATGAACTGGGTTGTTGAGAGTTACGGATATTTTGAAATGAATCTTCCAGAAATTCCTTGGTCTGCTCATTGCCTTACAAGGCTTGTTCTGTCATCATGAAACAAGTGCCTCTATGTTCACCTGTGTTCAAATACGGCAGGGCAGGCAGGCTCTGAAATACCGCTTACATATAATTGTAAGGAGACCGATCAAAGTGTAAACAAGAACCACCTAGTACGATATTAACATACAGCAAGTTCATGACATATTATTGCAAACTAAGGCAACCACGTATTTTTTTCAATTTAGTACCCATGCATCAAGCAGACCTCTCCCCCTTTGCTTTAGTCAATGTAGGTGAAGTCAAAGTCTTTATTCCTGAAGTAATGAACTCATCCTTACTTGTATTTTCCCAGCCAAGAGTCAGCAATGAGAGCACCAATGACAGGTGTAAAGTAACACAAACTGGAGAAGGCATGGTACACCGAAGTAGATGTAGTCTCATCCCAGTGGAGGAAGTAGAGAAAGTACAAAGTCAGAACCGCTGAGAGAGAAAATACAGCAAAAACAGAACAATTGGTTTAATAACTAATATAGGACCCCCAGTTTATGTTGGGGATGACTGTTGGGAAGACACAAGTGGCATTGCAACCTTTCTGCCCAATAGGAACATTGTGTGTTTACCAGGAGCATAACAAGAAGGTTCTACTTTTACTGACACCCTTTCTAAATTGGAATGGGCTTCCAAGGGAGGTGGTTGAGGGCCCATCAGTGAGGGTGTTCAAGGAAAGATTGGGCAACACATGTTGGAGATCACATGACTGGAGCTGACTGGAGCTAGGAGTCAGACTAGATGGCCTGGGAGACCCCTTCTGACTTGCTTTTTCCCTATGTTTTTATGTGCTGTGAATTTTTGGCTGCCAGGCCATTGTTAAAGCACACTGCCTTCAACAAGGGAAGAGCTGACAACGTTGGGTACCAAACTAACAATCCTTTTCCCTCTCTTCATTTCTGTTCCCCATTCTCCCACTCATTCTCCACAGATGGTTGCCTTCACCTATTGCTGACAGGGCCCCAGTGCTCCTTTTGCTGAGGACTGCAAAGAAGAGAGACGGGATACACTTGGGTGCCACATATACAGTACAACCCTTCAGTCTATCGTGTTAATGAAAATCTACATCAGAGACAGCAGTGGCATTAAAGGCCATTCAAGATCTGAAGCAAGGGAATCTTTTCAAGGGACTCCTCCCAGTAATTCCCCACTGCTCTCCATCCACCTAAAGGCAAAACAGATTGCAAAAAGAGCAGAATTTTCATTTGGCAAATTGCATAGAAATGATGAAAGATACAACACACCTTTCATGCCATAGTAGGAGAAGCGCTCACAAAACTCATTCACCACAATGAAGGCGATGCTGAGAGGGTAATTGGTACCACATATTTTCTAAAGAAGCAAACCGGAAAAGAGGGAGAGTCACATAAACACTTATCCACAGATCATATGTACCACTGGCATAATGGCATGTACAGAACCTATAATCCCAGCACCATGTATACATACACATATTTCGGAATGGAAGAACCCGGTGTCCCTGGGGAGGGGCTTCAAGAGGAATACAAAGCTTACAATAAAAAGGCTGGTCTCCAAGATGGATGATGAACAAAGTGAGTGAATGTCAAACGTAGGTGAATAAGCTTGAATATATTCTTTCCTCTGCATACATTTCCAGCCCTAGAAGACTTAACTGGGGCTCATTTTATGTAGCAGGGCTGACAGGAGATGCAAATGAGGGGTGTTCAGAGTAAAGTGGGAAGGAGGAACTGAGAAATTCATTCATGAGGAGATGCATGGCTGGGACAAGTTGTGTGAGGGAAAACCGTTGCTAGCAAAAAGCTTTGTGATTGCAGAACAGATCATTCTTTCGACTTGAATAGCAGTCATTTTCTGGAAAGTCCCTTTTATTCCACCAAGCGATCAAATTAAATAAAGAAAAGATACCCTGATAGATGGTACTCCATCTATCTGGTAATTTTAAAGAAATCTTTGCTTCCAGAAAAAAATTAAAGGAAAAAGAGCATAATTTCAGTGGGACTTGGATCTCCAGATACCAAACGCAAAAGTATGACTACAAGCCCAAACTACACTGAGTGGCACCGGCATTGCTTTCTGAGCCTTTACTTTTGTCTTCAAGTTTGTGAGGCTTCACCGTACAACAAGGAAACTATGCTAGTTGGCAGCTTCCCCAGAACACTGTTGCATCATATTATGGTGTTATCCCAGGACATAAATGGGAAACGTAGTCTACAGAGAAATATAAATTTATTTGACAGTGAACCCCACCCCCCCATCATATATCCTGCACTGCTAGCATAGGCCTGATAGCAACCAGCTGTTTAGGTGAATTGAAGGCCAAAATCTACACATTCAAAGACTGTAATTACACATCATAAATTTGAATGCTGTGATTACACTTGCATGTCTTCTGCTTTTGCTCTAATGGTCCTTGACAGGAAAACACACCAGGAGAAGCATGGTTAGTCCCTTACAGTGATTTAAGTGCATGTGCTTGGATTCAGGGGTGGTGCAGCCAGTACATGTGGGCCCCCTTTTCCATAGGGTCAGGGACTGTAAAGAAACAGAATCTCCACACAAAGATAGTCTTCAACGTGTATAGTTTTGCACATGGTAGGTCTCTACTGGAGAATGGCAAACCTGTCAATTTTGGTTGCTTTTAGTTTCTCATGTTTCCAACTGTACCTTTGTTTTGCCCCATTTCTGCCTTCTGATACTATTTTCTTAAAAATCCCACACATTTCCATCTGGATTGTTTTTTAAATGACAAGCATGCCATTTCTTAATACACCCATCTATGTATACAATTTTGCTTAATAAATGCATTGTTCAATAATTATTCCTATTGTGATGTGCTTTTGTACATAATTTAACTTGTATATGCATTTTGTGTATACCTTCCACTGCTGTATGAATTTTTGTATGCATTTTTTCATTGGAGAGTTGCATCACAAACTCAGAAAAGTGTGGGTATCAACAGAATAACTGAGCTTCAGTTTGTAGTTCAGGAAATACAGATTAGGCAAATTAGGCAATACAAATAATTAAACATGAACTGATTTAATTTCTTCTCTTTTCTTCTCTCTGCATGCTTAAATGAACAATTGCAGGAAAGGGATAGTGCCTTCCTTGCAATCCCGCTTCTTTCTACGTATATTCTTTGTAATATCTGTAAGGGGCTTTTGGTTTCTCTTATTAGAAATGCTGTTTTCAGGTGCATGCTATTAAAAACCTGGATGAATGTGACGTAACAATTTGTTCAAACCAAGCTCTAATCCGCATTTTGTACTCTGCTTGGCCACATTCCGACTTTCCTTATTAGTCACGAACCATTATGCATAGTGGTATGGTGGTACATTTTTAGGTGCAGGTTCTCATCAGTGACAGTCTCCATACTCACACCCCTAAGGACAATTCAAATTATTAGGCAGTCGCATTAATCCATCTCTGTCAGAAACAGATTTCTTTAAAGCTACTAGACCTTAATTGTCCATTCAAGAACAAGCCACTTCGAAATACTTTGCATTACAGCAGGGAACAATCAATTGCTGCTGGGAAAATTTCTTTCTATCCAGCTTCTGTGAAGACTGTAATGAAGCTCAAATTAGGGATGAGCTGATGCTGGCATGTCAGGCTGGGTTGAATTCAATGGGCTTCCTGCCTGCTTCCGGGCTGATTGTAAACAGGCTAAGTTGGGATTTTACAGTGGACTTCCTTCTCTAAGATAGGCTGTGGTTTGTTCATTTTAAAAAACTTAATAAAATATGCACAAATCATGCTACAAGACACAATTTGTGTATATTTATGCAGTTTGTACAAATTTACAGAATTTCTGCAAATCACACTGTTTCCACAAATTGAAAGATGGAAACTATATCATTCTAGTTCAATTAGTAGTGAATATCATGCTAGAACTGCAGTTTTCAGCTTCACATAGTGATTTGTGCAAATTTCCTTAGTGTTTTTGTTTTTAAATGTAGGAACCATGGCTAGTCTTAGAGATGTAAGTTTGCAAGCTGACTAGACTTGTACAACTTGCTGAGTTGGTGTCAGCAAAGGGCTAACGAACTAGAATGTGTGTGTGTGTGTGGGGGGGGGTGAATCACGAAAATCCATCAGATTTTCACCTCCCCATCCCACAGACATACACAGGATTCCTCATGCACCCCTAGCTCAGAGTAAATAGAGAAGTCAGATTTACTGTCGATATGGCAGATGATGTTGACATCACTGCTAAAATTAAATTCCTGGTTTTGCTTCCCTAGCTGTAAAAAAATGGCAGTGCCACCTTCCTGAAGTCTCTGGCTCCACTGCATCTCTGCATGCACGATTTGTCTGAACTGAGCCGGGGGCAGTGGGACACAATTCTTCCACGTTCATTCATGATGCAGGGAATATATGTACTGGGATCATGGAGGACTTTGGAGATGATTGAGAAATGAAAATAATCCATGAGAATGGAACTGAAGGTATGAATAAATAACTCCTGGCAAGTTGTGGACCTACATATTCTGCTTCCCAAGCTTCAAAAACTGACCACTATTTCTTCTGCAAAAAAAAAAAAAAAAAAAGCTGGGCAGAATTTCCAGGACAGAAATGGAAAGTGGGTACTTAATCTTTCCCCAGACACCACTTTCCCCCTTGAAAGTCCACTTCCACCAACCCATTTTCCACATCTGTACTTGGAAATGAAATGCACTCCCATTTATCTTGATTCTAATAGCTGATAAATATTTTTAATAACCCAGAATTCTTTATTATATAACATTTTATTATCTTTTCTTGTTATTCTGTAATATCTACCAGCCCTGTTCCTGATGAGGTGACATTGTCTACCTGAGCTTTTCTCTACATGCGGTGATAGAGAACATTTCTCCAGGCTGCCCACTGTCCCTTCCTACCCTACCCATCCGGGACTCCTGTCTTATTGCACATCTGCACTTGGCTTCATGTTTGGAAAGGGGGTGTGTGTGCAAATAAATAAATAAATCCAGACTATGTGAGCCCAAAGCAAGTGGCCAGTTTCCAGAATCTACTGGTGGGAGGAATCAGCAAGGCCGCCTCGTCTTTTCTCTGTATAACAGCCCACTGCCTCTTCCTGACCCTTTGCCCCATTTCACATATGTTTTATTTCTTTCATTGGCGGTTATGTACTTTCCTCTCTGAAGTTTGATTGTACAGCTTTGCTAATTTCATTCCTTTTTAACAATTATTCCACCACTGAAGCTCTTCCTCTGGGAGCAACTTGTAAGCTAACTTCCCATTAAAATATGGGAGCATGGTGATAAAACCGGGTTAGCAGAAATATAGTGCTGTGAATAAAATCTGTTAAATAGTCTGGAATAATTTCTCGGAGAGAGAGAGAACAAACACATGAATAAGTCTTTTACCTCAAACTTGTGAAAGATACAGAACTGCGACAGTGGCACTGACCAAATTAAAAACTTGTTGCTGTGTTGAGGAGATGCTTTTGAAATATCCCAAACAAACCTGTGAGCTTATCACCACACACTCGACTCATATTATAGAGAAAACTTTTGGAGTATGTTCTCCAAGCAAAATACAGGGCATGTAGTGATAATTCTTGAAGAAATACTGGCTCAATGTTTCCCCAACTTCTTTGAGCTGCCATTCAAGCAGATTAATCAGGCAAGCATCTCCTTCTGAACTTTTAGTGTTAATAGCAACCTTAGGCAAGGAATGGTGTTTGAGGCCAAAGTGCAACAAGGAAGGAAAGAACAGTAAGCACTCGAGAAATTTCTAGAGAAGTTAAAGGAAACACACACACATACAACACTTACCGGGGATTTTTTCTTAGGAGGGCAAATTCCTTTTCGAGGATTAGCTTCTGCAGAAATAGAAGTGAACAGAGTCTCCTTAGATGCTTTTTTCTGCAAGAGGTCCATCCTGTTTTGACAATTTGCCTCACATAACTCTTTGCTGCTGTGGTGAGATGGCTGGGAAGGTTTCCAATGTGTAGCTTGGAATTCAGATTGGAGTTAACCCTGATTGTGCACGTTTCTGCCTCGCTCATGGAGGAGGACATGAAAGATGCGAGTAAGGCTAACGTGGACCGAGTGAGCAAGCCCTAATCGGAAGGGTCACAGGAGTGCCCTCGGCACCTGTGGGCGGGATTGTGCGGTTGCTGAGGCACCCCTCGGGTCCTGTTCTCACGGAGCCCTAGTGTCGAGACAAGTGAAATGCATGCTGGAGGATCGCCCTGCTCCAAAAGTCGAAACCCATAATTAGATGCGAGATTTGTGGCTTAGGGCCACCTCTGCTATAATAGTGGGCTTATTCAGTAGCAACCGCAGGCATCCCTGCTTATTTGGAGCTAGCTAGCCGGAACAAAATGCGCCATTGAGGCCACAAAGCAAAGGCGCTCTGTTTGGCTTACATTTAGCCTTCCTCTGTGCTTGTCCTGAGACTTGGATTTCCTGCTATTAAACTGTTTCCCAATAAGCCTGCTGAAGAAAGAGGAGGATGTATGGGTGATAAATCAATGCATATAATACGTATATTCTTCTGGAAATGCCTTTTAATTAGAGGAGGCTCCTAACCATTCAGCCACAGATATGCTCCTAATATAGGTAATAAACGCATCTCCTCTCTGTCCCTCAGCAGAGATAAGCACAGTAACTCTATTTGTGTTTTGCAAGATGCTATAAACAGGGCTGTTTATTGTCTACCCTGTTTCAAGGGCTGAGAATGGATAGCAACTATATCACAACCAAAAGATAGCCCTGTTTCTGAAGAGCTTATGATTTAATAAATAGAACAAAAGAGATATACGAGAGAAAGAGAGAGAGATTACAAGCGCTCAGATCCCCATTATTCCTTCCTTACAACATTTAGGTTTCCTTGTCCCTGCATACAACCTCAACATAGTATTATCAACTGATCTCACTTCCTACCCCTGTCCAACCTTTGCTCACACTATAAAACAAAACATTTATCCTCATCTCTACCATGAGAATATATAGGACAGAGTAAGAAAAGAGATTAAAACAAAACAAGGGAACACCAAGAAAGGAAATGTTTAGGATCCTTCTTCTCCTAATAGTTATTATTAAATGAACTTAGACCCACGTATTTGGTGTGTGTGTGTGTGTGTGTGTGTGTATAGCTCAAGTTGGGATTTTAACACAATTCTTGTGCTTGACAGGCCTCTAAGTAGAAAAAATCTCTACTGTTAAAATTAAACCCTGTTTCTTTGAGTTAGCTGTATGGCCTTTGTTTTATAAAGTCCCGATACATTTGGCACTGGCTGCTTCTAGTTCAATAGTATTAACTTTGTCACCATCCATACCACAAGTGTGGCAACCACAGACAGGTTTGCTGCAGCAATGGAGAGATGGTATAGATGCAAGCTGTCAATGAAAAAGTCTATAGGGCATTTCTTGGTGCACTGTAAACTCAATATTTGGCCTTAGGCAACCTTACAGCCTCCGCTCACATACTGCAATTCTACCTTCTGTGACTTGGTAAAGAGTCACTAACAGATGCAAAGTGCTTTGAATACTCAGAAGGACAATGTACATATCAGTGCTAAGGAGTCACATGAAAAAGATGGCCATGGAGACAGCAAGAGTGACACATTGAAAGTATGTTGGCAGTATTTAAGTTTACTTAGTAATTAAAATATTTCTAATGCTCTCTCTGTCAAAGGATCCCAGCATATGAGTGAGATGGTGTAAACTGGTGTCCTTCACTGAGCAGGGGGTTGGACCTGATGGCCGCCTTGGCCCCTTCCAACTCCACTATCCTATGATTCTATGAATATGTAACAATAGTCAATAACAACAGCTTGAGATAAAATCACAAAAATAAAAACACTCCGATCCAGTATAAAATTTATAAAATTTATTTATTTATCTATCAGATTTATATCCCACCTTTTTTCTTGCAAACAATGCAAAGTGACTTACAACATTCTCCTCCTCCTCCTCTCAAGTCTTATCACCACAATAACAACAAGGTAGGTTGGGCTGAGAGTCTGTGACTGGCCCAAAGTCACCCACTTGGGTCCGTGACTGAGTGAGGACTAGAGCTAGGTTGCCTGAGTCCTGGTCCCATGCTCTTAACCAACACACTGGCTCTCAAAGCAAAGGTAAGTCAGACCCAACCTATGGTCAGTAAGACTCCCAAACATTCAGGTTTGACTTGGCTCTAAGACAAAGACAAATTCAGTGCCAGCTGACACTTTTGGGGGAAGAGCGTTCCATAACATGGGTGCCACAGCTGAAAAGCCCTCTCTTGTTTCTCTACATGATATACTCCACCCAGGGCAGTAGAATGTGAAGGAGGTTTCCCTTGACAGATCTTAGTACTTGGGCAGCTGTACACTGACTCCTCCCTGAAGTGTCATTTCCTTTATGGATATAGCATCAACTTTCCTCCAATGGGGCAACACACATGTTCCTGCTGCTCTGTGTGTGTGTGTGTTTTGTGGAAAGAAGGTGGTAGGCCCTTCTGAAGTGTTGGAATTGAACTCTTGCAAGGACAGATCTGCCATGCAGTGTTCCAGAAGTTAGACAGGAGGGCAGAGAATGTGGTTGCATCAAAGGTGGACCATTCTTGAAGATTTTTCCCAAGGGAATCCCATAAATGTGGTTAACAACTTCATTTCTGCTCCACTGTCATTGGTCAGATTTTGCTTCTGGTGCAAGAGGTGGTTAAAGTAAACAATCCTTCAGGTTTCACTTATTATTATTGCTACATTACATCTATACCCACCTTTCTTTCTCTTGCAAGGGGCCCAGGGTGACTTACAAGACTCGCCTCCTCTCCAGTTTTATCCACACAACAGCCACCCTGTGAGGTAGGCTGGGCTGAGAGGGAGTGACTGGCCCAAAGTCACCTGTGAGCTTCATGGCTGAGCAGGGACTAGAACCCAGATCTCCTGAGTGCCCGTCCAATACTCTAACCACTGCACCACACCGGATCTAGCTATCACAACATACATATAACCAGCTGCTATATATTTCTGGTGACATACATTCTCAATGTAGAAACATTGTGGTTCATACTAGCCTGAGATAGTTTGTTGCATGTGATGGCAAAACGCAATTGCAGCGGCAGAGTTCATCCAACAAATGTATGCACAGCCAGGGCTTGTTTCTGAGTAGACGCTTTCCAAAGTAAACAAGAACGGCACATGATTTCTTAGCAACTAAAAGCCTGCTGCTTACGGATTTTGTAAATGCAGTTTCTTAGATATTACTTATACTGTAAGGAAAGGAAAGCAGCAGGAACAGTCCGCACTCAACCAAGCATCAGTTGAAGCTGGCCTAACTTTCAGAGAGGGAGAAAACAGAATTCCACTTCGTTGCTAGCGAGTTGCAGAATTCCCTCCCCGAAACGTTTGAGCAGTTTGTTCCAGGGAACCCTGCCCGTTGGCAAGGTGGAGAAGATGGCTTCTCCTTTGCCCTTTAACCAGACTATGCAAGACTGCTTTAACCCTTTAATGGGTGATCAATCAAAATAGCCAATTTCTCCTCCCTACATACTCCAACAGTCTGAAGCAGAGAGAGTGGAGATGGTTCCCTTCCCTCTGTCTTTGAGGTTTTTGCTGCCTCGTGGCCATAAATTCAGGGGGTTCCTACTGCATGTGCAAACAAGCACTGGGAAAGAACGATTTCTTCCTTTTCCAATTGTTCTAGACAAATGGGTTGTAAACTTCAACCAGCCAAAATTAAATTGCAACCTAAAGTTCATAGCTGTCTTTTGTTATCACTTCTAGTATCAAATTGCTTGCTGCCTCTGTAATCAATATACAAACGGCAAACGTTATTTCTGCCGCTTTACTGGCTTTGGGGACATTCCCGGCTAGAGAGCCTTCTTGCAAGTGATGTTTTACCAGGTCTCAAGTGCATTTGTTTCTTAATCTATGATTCTTCTTTTGCTGCTGTTTCTGTGTCAGTTCATATTTTAAGAAAATTGCAAAGGAAGTACACCCATATGATCCCCATCCTATCCTGTTACCTCACGTGCCTTGACCAAAAGCATGTCATGGCACTTTTTCCTAGAAGGGGATTTTTCATGAGGAGGCCTCCCTGCAGTGCCGTTTTCTGACCCACCTGAAAGGCCTGCTTTACATTTACGACAAAGGCAAAAGCGGCCACACTAAAAAGGCGATTCACGTATATTCAGCATGATAGATGAAACTGCTCCTATCCCAGGGCAGGATGATGTATCTAACATGGGCCACTGCTACTGCAAATGGCCATCCGTCTTGCTCTCCTCTCTATTCTCCCATGCAACTTTCAGTCACACTTGTGGTATCCTTGTTCCTAGAGGCTTCCTTCCATCTCTCCACATCACTGGCCACTGCTGGCAGGAGTGGGAGAACCACAAACGCGTTGATCTCACAACGGAGGCAGTTAAAGGCAGCATGAGAATGAGGTTTAGTTGATTTGATTAGATTAGATGCAATCCTATGCATGTGTAGACAGAAAAAAGGTCAGCTCCCAGCATGCGCCAGTATATGGGCCAGCTGTGCATGAGACCTGAGCAATTAATTAATAAGTTAAAACTTAATTAACACAATTACTTCCATCTCAGGTGAAGCAATTACCCTAAGCTTCACCTCCAGGTTGCCATCTTTCTGAGTACAAAAGTCTGATTGTTTTATTCTGGGTATAGCTTGCCTGTAGAATCTACATTGTGCTTCCATCCGTTTCCTTTTTTCATGAAGTTTACAAGGCAGTCTGTGAGATAAAACTTATTGGATTGCTGCTTCTTTCATCTTTTAGTTTAAGAGTTCACTTACGGTCCAATCCGAGCGGTGAGTACAGAGAAATAAGTGTCAGGCAGTTCAATGGGACTTTCTCCCAGATAAGTATGGGTAGGATTTTATCCTTAATGTGTCTGTCCCTAGGCTATCTAGGTAGCAAAAATCTATTTATTAACTCTGGAGGAAACCTTGGGGCATAATAAGATCTTATTTAAAATAGCTAGCAATTTAAATGCTACCTTTGATTGTATTCATATTACAATTTTTAAACATTCTTTAAGAAATTACAATGAAGTCCTTATACATATTTATCTGCAGGTAAATTCCACAAAACTTGATGTGGCTTACTTCTTAGCAGCTTGTCACTGTAAATAATGTTATAGGTTATGGGACAGATTCATTGCTTCTTCACGCCAATTCCACTTCCCTCACTCTGCTCTTCTGCAAGTCTGTCCCCACAGAGGGGAGAGCTCTGCCCTTTTCCCCGTCTCCCGATAGCCCTCAACCAGTTGTATGCTGCAGTGGTGCAGAGTAAATGGACTCCATAGTTAGCATATTTAGTCCTTTGCCCACTTACGGAAAGATGTCTCAGGGGCTGCCCCTGCCTAGGCCCCAGCAAGCAGGATATATTTTGCAGACAGCTTGAGCTGTCTGCTCGGGGTCTGGAAAGGAGAACCCGCTTGACACATCTTTCTGATAGCTAAAAGTTCCTCACCTTTTTGGTGCACTGCCAAGGAGTGATTCAGGAAACTGCTGGGGAGTGACAAGTCCTCCCAAGCTCTTTCTTTTTGTTTCTCCCTAGCCCTCCCAAAAGATCTTCTTTGGCCAATTGGCAGTTTACAATTAGAGCAATGACATCCCGATTCAGAATGATCCACTTTTATTTTTAAACTGGAGCGTACCACTTCCACCCTTTACAAACTGGAACTTCACTGAAGTGCAGTGTGGTGCTGCCACCGGGGTGACCAAGGGCAAAAAGGTCAGGCTCAACCTGTGCTTTGGACATTTCAACAGGCACCACTTGCCACGCAGGCCACATGTGCTGGATCCTCTCTTCTATGCCCCGTTCAAGGGGCAGGAGCCACCTGCCTTCCCTAAGTACCAAGAAAGAAAAAGCAACCCCAGATGGAGTCCTCCCTGCTTGCTCCTATAACATCTAGGTCCAGGATGGTGCAGTTGTGACCATCCAGAGGTTGCAGGGTCCCAACATCCTGCACCACTGGTCATGTTGGCTTGGGTGATGGTAGCTGGAGTCCCATTAGATCTGAACTGCCATAGGTTTACCACTTTTATTCAAGCAAACTAGTCCATCCCATGCTGGGGTCATGTTATGCCTTTCCCTCCCCAGCATTATGGGCTGCTGCTCACAGAGGCTTTGGAAATCAGGAGAGGAGGGAGCACCTTGGTATCGTGCAGTAGGTGAACTGGATGGGCATCTGGGCTTTCAAGCCTGGGATTCTGCTTCTGTAAAAGGAGGATTGCTAAAATGGCCAGGCTGTGTAGCTGCTGCATATTTCCTGTGTTAGGAAGCCTGGGCTGATTGCTTCTGAGGGCTGGCCTGTTGCATGGCAGAGGGGGATCCATCTCGATTCCCCTCCCAGCTGCCAGCTAAGTGCCGAGGGAGTAAAGGACAGGCAAGAGCCAGAGACAGGGCAAGAAAGGACAGAGCTGGGGATCTGGGGTCTTCGACAGCCATGACTTGCTCTTGACCGCCTAAGGAGAAGGAAGAGACGATCCCACCCAGATACAGAAGTGGACAGGGCTCTCAGTTGACCCTTCTGCAACAGGACAACGTCCTCCGCCAAGATGGAGGGCCACGGGTGAGCTCAGGCACCCAGGCCTGGCCTAGATGGAATATGCAACTCACAGCCACTGCCCACCCCAAGAATCTTCTGCCTGATGTGGTTGCTTCTCCTGAACTAATGCGGGGATGGCCCTTTCTGGAGCTGGCTGCTTTCCTAAAAGAGCCACTGCGGCAGCAAAGAATATTGCGTGTCTGTTGGGAAGGTTGAAGACGGCACCTCCACCTCTGCTCAGCCTGTATCTCTGTCAATAAATACGAATATTGCAAAGCACCAATAAAGATCCAGTGATGTCCTTCCAAAGGAAACCAAGGACAGGTAAGCACTGTGCCCCTCCGCCAAGGCTACATAACAATATCGATTATATTTATTATAGTTTCATTAGTTTGATTTGTTTTAAAAATGTATTATTAAGCATGCATGTTATGTGAGTGTTTAATTGCTCTGTTATCAGCCACCCCAGATGCTTTATTGAACAACATAACTAATATATTTTAAATGTAAATCTATTAATAAATAGATTCCATAATTAAATCTTATTAATTGTAGTTTATAAATTAAGGGAGTGATTCTGTGGCTGCTAGAGGGTTTCTGGGAGCAGTGGGTATAGGATGCTCTGGATTCCCAGAACCAAAGCCAGAGAGCTTGCAGCTTGCAGCTAGTTGAAGAAAGCTCCATGAAGTTAAGATCCTGACCTTGGAGAGGAGGAAAAGGGGTGTTGGGGGGGGGCAGGTAAAGGAGGAGACCAGAGCAGCCAGGAAACAAGGTATGCTGCAGCCACCCCAGCCTCCTTTCCTCCCCCATCAGAGGCCATGGGATGCATGCACGCCTCCATGTTTGGGGGCTTATGCTCATCTCTATAGAACTGCTCCCTGCCTAATTTGAAAGCTATCAAACCACATTTAGGTGTTTGCAGCTTTGCAGTGCTCTATGCTCCTCCCTACTTGTGATCCACGCTGCCCCAGAACTCCTGGTTAAGGGGCTGTCTGAAGGTCCATGTTCAAACAAGTACCAACAGCAGAAAAAGGAAATAATGCTCTACATGTCATTTCTAAGCTCCAGGAGTCACACCAATATCCAAAGGAGTGCCTGCTTCTCAAAATTTATATTCATCAGTGCATCCAGTGATAAAGATGTGCTGGCAAAAAACGAGGAAAAGCACCACTCCAAAAGACATATTTGCACCAATTTTGCTAATGCTAATGTATTTGCATGAATGGCAATTTAGAAATAATTCCCAATGTTTAAATAGAAATTCAGCACATCTCCCTGTAGTGGAGAAGGTTGTGACTGGGGGGCTGGATTGCTCCCAGTACTGGCTGTTGGATGGGCCATGTCAGGACCCAGCTCACCCTCCTTTTGGTTCTTTTTCTTTAGACTGGACTTGGACTGGATAGCCGTTCAAACAGAGGAATATTGTCTCTAAAATTTTGACAAGTGGCCTCCCAGAATGCATCCAACGGCACACAATCCTATGCATAGTTTGTTCAGGTTGGAGAACAGAAAGCCTCACATGATCACTGACCTTCTGGCTTCTCTTTTTGTCCTTTTGCACAACTTTTCTCTTCCACCATTTCTGCCATCTCCTTAGATTTTCTCCGAGGCAAGCCGACTGTCTCTGTCCCAAGTCTTGTTAATATTTTACTCTACTGTTTTGGCCCTCTCAGCAATCTATAAAACACACACAAATTCTGGCACCCTTCCTCCTCTCAGCTGAAGTATTTATCTACTGGAGTTACTTATCTCAACTTTGCCAATTTTTAAAAACCCTCTATGTTCAAACTACATTTGGGTTTCAATGTAGTTTATTGATTAAAGTCTTGACAAACTTTTGAGGGAAACACTTCAGAAGTCACCTTGAGTTACAGCAGTAGCTTTTTTTTAAGGGGAATGTGTGTGTGTGTGTGTGTGTGTGTGTGTGCTTATTCCACTCCAGGGCCAACTCACAGCCTGCTGCAGATGCTCACAATCATCTTGGCTTAGGTGTAATAATACTATTTGACAGCAGCTGGAAATCAGAACCTTAGTGAATCCATGTGACAGTCCTTAACTTTACAAGAAGAGACACGCCTCATTCAGTGTAAACAAGCCAACTTTTATTCTGTTTTCTGCACAGCAGATGGAGTTCTGTTTATTTTATTGTAGACCATTCATATTTCAGGAATTTAATACACACTAAGAGGAAAACATGTTTCACAATATGTGTAACATAAGCTCAGTGTTATTTCCCACTGTATTACTGTGCATAGGGTGGCCATGTGTCTACAGCACACAGTCCTCCATTTCAGGATTGTCCGAGGAAAGACCTCTTTTTGAAGGGCTGTCCATTCCAAGCGGAATTTAAGTATAATGGAATCTAAGACGCGAAAGCCAGCAGGAGCCGAGATGTGGCGCACTGGCAGTGGGCAACTCGAGAGCAGACTGTGCCGGCCCGTGGGGGTGGGGAGGGCACCTGCTTTGCCTGAAGAAACCCCCGTGCTTAATCTCACCATCTCCAGCAAGGATGGGAGGATCAGGCCAGAATCCAGGTCTCTGGTGCTCACCGGATTTCTTTCCTGCACTTAACCCAGGCCAGGCTGCAGGCCAGGCTGAGAGCAAGCCTATGCACGCTTGGGAACACTTGCTGCTCCTTTGCTCAGAGTACACAGTTCTTTTCACAAAGCATGCAAAGGTGCGTGCTTGCACAGGGGTGTGCGGTGCCACGTGAACCTCACAGGCTTGTTTGCACTCCCTTCCTGCCAGATGCCCATGAGACGACTCGCACAAGTTAAACTTAGGCCAAAGAGAGAACAGATTCTTGGAAGGCCAGGCAATCTGAAAGACTCTCACCTCCAACCATGGTCCTCACTCACCTCTAATCCCCAGGTGGGGCTGGAAAATTTCCTGCCTGAAATGCTGGAAAGCTGCTGCCAGCCAGTGCTGCTGATACTGGGTTAGAAGGATCAAGGCTCTGATCACAACATAATGCAGCTTCCTGTGTACCTGGTCTTAGAATTCCTTGCTTCAGTGATATTTATTCTATTTCTATTTAAATTATCATCATTATTACTAAATGTTCATCTAAATGTATAAATTAGCATGCATAAATTTTATGCAGAGTGGTATCTTTCTTCTTGGTGGTGCAATTCTTTTTTCTGTGGGACGTAAACAGCCACCCTCACATGGAGGGCTGTGACTGAACCCTATTTTACACAGTTGAGGCAGGCCCCTGTGGCAGGTCTCTGCCCTCTTCTTTTCCTCCTCCAGCAGACTTAGAAGGGACCGTAGAAGCACAGTCCTTTGATTAGAGCTCAACAGGGTTACAAAACTGCCTAAATCAAAGCAGCATTCTCTTTGAGATGTGGAAGAAACATCTACCCACATGAAGCACTGAATTCAAACTGAATCACCCCCTTCCTCCTTCTCTTTCGGGAAAAGACTCTGTCCCTCCCCTCCCACTCCTTGAGGGATTGGTGGTGGGAACATCAGACACTTCTAAATTGCTCCACTTGTTTGCCTGCCATCTCCTTAAAGGGTCAAGGAACTCCCCTCCATCTCCCCCACCTAGTTCTGAAATTTCTCCTCCGTTTCCAAGGTGGGATGATTTTCATGACCTGCCTGAGAATCCTCACTAGATAACCTTGAAAGTGCAAATCCATCTACTCCCCTCCGCCTCCTCCTCAGCATCTGATGAATCTATCTGAGCAGACTGTAATGTGCAAGAGCTGGGCCTTGAGAAAAGAAAAGCTGTGAGAAAAGAAGACTACGAGGTGAGAGGATAGCACTCTACTGGTATTGACTGCCGCAAAGACGAAGGCAAAGACCTCTTCTCACTAATCCCGTAGTGTCGGACACGTAACAATGAACTTAAACTACCATACATCAGGTGCAGGTTAGACACAAGGATGAACTTCCTGTCAGAGCAATATGACAGTGGAACCAATTGCCAAGAGAGGTGGTGGGCTTTCCCACCCTAGAGACATTCAAGAAGCTAGACAGAGATGACTTTTGTGGCCCTCTCCAACCCTACCATTCTATGATTTTATGTCTCTATGATTGGGCCCCCTCTCTGTGGTGGGTTGCAGTGCATGCTTGGCAGAATTTGAATATCCAAGCTGTGAACTGGTTGGGCAGGCCATATTTATTTATTTATTTATTTATTTATTTAAAACATTTCTATGCCACCCCCATCGCAACAAAGCCTCAGGGCGGCTCACAACATAATTAAAACATATAAACAACAAATTAATACAATTAAAAATTTAAAAAACCTGGTAACATCTTGGCTGAAAAATTTAAAACCTATAAATACATAATAAATTAACAATAAAATAAGTTTTAAATAAAAAGGAATAAATAAAACATGAATATGAAAGATTTCTAGCCATTGCTTTCTCTTTTCCCACCACATGCAATAGATCTGGAACCTGCCGGGGGACACATATCAGTCTTGAACAAGAAGCGCTCTGCTATCATGTCATTTTCTCAACAAGTCACTTGCAGCTCCCTCTCACCTGAAGCAGACTACAAACTCAACCCACTTAGGAACCATTTTGTGTTTGAAACATTGTGTATGATCTGGTTCATATGTTATCACCAATTCATGGGGTGTTTCACCCATGAAACATGGGTTGTCCTGTCCATGAATTGCCAGAATGTCTTCTGCTTTCATAAAAAGCCCAAGGATGCAACAGTCTTAGTTTGTCTGATCCAATGTGCAAACTCAGAACTCTGAGTAGTTGAGGGGCAAGTATCCCAGAATTTTAATAATAAATCAAAAATTGAAAGTCTGGGCTGTTCTTTCCTTATCAACCTGGACTTTTCAGTTCACACATCATGTCAAGCTGCCCAAAATGTTCCTGGGTTGTTTCTGATGCAAAGTGGAAGGGGTGTGCAGGCAAAAAGCAGGGAGCTTATTTGCTCAAGCATGGCCTTAACTCACAATGGGTGATTTAATCCATAGTGTTTGAACCAGGTTTACACATCCTTAGGTGGCTAAGTGACCAGATGTGCATTTGGGCACTGCAAGACTCCATCATTCTTCCTGATCCAGCTTGCACAAAGATGGAATCCTCTTCAAAAAGCAGTAACATTTGCAGTAACATGTGCTCTTCCACTCACCTCTACAAATAATTATTATTGCTTTCTGAAGAGGGTTCTGCAGCTGCCATCCGGCTGCTGTGCATTCACACTGTTGAACTACAGCCCAAGTAGTACTGCTACTCAAAGTAAAGCATCTGTGGGAAGCTAACCCCATTTGCTTTCAGAAGTTTCATTCCACACTTCTGAAAGCATATGGGGCTAAACAACCCTTGTATAACCTTAAAAGAAGCCATGGGATGGGCCAGTGCTGTTTAAATTTCACACAACCCACCCTGCCGTATATTCCAATAAAATGAAGTCAGTGGTCTAGCTTGAATAATCAGAAGGGCTGCCCTCCTGCCCAGTCTGCCTCTCTTAACATTAGGTGTCAGCCCGGTCACGTGGGTCCTCACGAATGGGCCTTGGGGATAAGAGAGGAGCAGCCAGGCCATTAGGGCTTTACAGATGATCTCCCTGACATAGTCTTTTGGACATTTAGGTAGATGCAAGCCAAGCAGGAGTTGCCATTCGGTGCCTGCCTCTACCCCGGATGAGCCACAGAATGCAGTTCTTGGCTACCACCTTCAAAGGCATGCAGGGAAGCTACCATCTGCCTTCCTGACCCCACTACCATGCCCCACTCTCCTGGACCACCCTTGTCACTGTTGCTCTCCCCCCCACCAACTGCCTTCCAGCATGGCCTCGATGTGCTCAGAGAGAGGGAGAAAGAGCAAGATCAGGAGTGAGAGAGAGAGCCGAGCTGAGCCACCTGTTGGTTGAGGAGTGGCTTCTCCCAGTGGCCATTTTGCTTCAGCGGGAGACACACAGCGCAGTGCCTTTGGGTGATGCCAAAGGGGGGCACCACTTCAGGACCCAGGCCCTTTGGTGGCGGCAGGGACAGTTATGATAAGAACTTATGGTTTTATTATTGTACTGTTTATATTTTATTGCGAACCGTCCAGAGAGCTCTCTGGGCTATGGGGAGGCAAATAACTGTAATAAATGAATAAATATGTAATAAAAAGGCTGGTCTCACTATAGAGCACTGCAGCAGTCTAAACAGGTGACTATCTCAGCTTGGGAACCAGAGTTACAAGGACCATGTGACAGTGACATGAGACCAAAGGATTCTGGGGACAAATCTACAGTAAGAAAATAAGCATGTTTTTTCCATGCTAGAAACCGCCCAAATTCTAGAGAAATTTTGAGTTTGCCCTTGCTAGCAATTACACCCTTGCGTTAACTTAAAGAAAGCAAGCAAGCAAACATCTACTAAGTCCTTTGGCAGCATCCGAAATCCTGGCACAGCTCCCTCTGGTGGCGAAGTGCTATAAAGCACCACATTCAATCAGCCAATGCTGCAGGATCAGAATCAGTCCTGTTGGTACTTGCAGGGCTCACAGCCTGGGCATTCACACAGCACAGCTGACAACCCTGGAAGACTTCGTAAAAGGCTTCCTTGTGTTGCTTGGTTTTGCTACAGCCACATGGGTCGCTGTGGTGGTCCTGCTCCAGCTTTCTGCCTTGCCTT